CTCTCTCTCTCTCTCTCTCTCTCTCTCTCTCTCTCTCTCTCTCTCTCTCTCTCTCTCTCTCTCTCTCTCAGATCGCTGCCCGTCCAGATGCAGCGTCGTCGGGAGCAGCTGCATTGTTCAATGGTGCCCCTCAATGCGAAGGATCGGTCAATGGACTATAACGACAGCGTGCGAGATGCGCGCTACTGTGAAAGTGCAGAGAATAGTGGCTAGATGCGTGTTTCGTGCGTGCTGATTGTGGGCAGATGTGTGATGTGAAGGTGTATGCCATCTGTGTGTGAATGTATGGACGTTGTGTTCAGAGCGAAGGCAGACACAGTAAACGCAGCAAGAAGGGATGTTGCTGGATGTGATGGTGGTGCGATGGCAGTGAGGTTGTGGGCAGAGAGAAGCCTCCTCAATGAATCCATGACTGAGCAACCAGGACCAGAAATCGCGCGACAAGACGTGGGCAATCAGCAAAACGACAACAACCACGACAACAACCTCCCGCACGGGTTCGCCACCGTCGCTTGGCCCTTCGACCTGCAGCCTGCCCGTCGCTGCTGCTCCTTCACCTGTTCTGCCACCCCGCGGGACATTCCCTCTTCTGGGCCGCAGCGTGGCTGCGTCGCACTTGTAAAAATCAAAAGAAAACAAGAAAACATGACTGCAAACAAAACAAGCACAAACAGACCATAAAACCCGCCTGCCTCAGTGGGGCCGTATGTACCCCTGTCCCTAAGGCCACCCAAATGTGGGTCGTGCAGCATGAGGGCCTCCAAGTCAAATGTTGCGCCCCCACCGTCTTCCCCCGAACGTAACGCATATGCGTTGTAAACGAAAACAACGCACAGGTTGCTTTCTACTGGAATACAACGCATATGCATTCTTATTTTCGAATACAACACATGCATTCTATTCAAATTTTTGAATTTTCTGAAAACTCGAAGACAACGTATATGCGTTATGTTCAGGGGAACACGGTAGGGCCCATGTGATGTGTCCAAGCATGCCACAATTTCTCTGGCATCTGCCAAAGGATGCAGTGTGCTCAATGCTTCAGTGCTGCAGCTAGGAAGGACTTTGTTCCACAAATATACCTCCTACAGTATTTGCTCCCAACCTCTACTCGCTACAAGCCATATACCAGCTATGGCATCTCCCTCCTCTCCCTAACTATGGCTGCCAAGTTCCTGGTTCTCCCTTGCTCTGGGCCTCTGGCATCTGTTGAAGTATGCAGTACTCAATGCTCCATGGCTGCAGCTAGTACGGGCTTTGCAAGCCACTCCGGCATCGCCGCCATCGATGTTAAGAATCTACGACCATAAGCTGTTGACTTACTTGCTTTAGTCCAGTGGAATGATTTTTTAAGTGACTGAACGACTCATTCAAGAGGGTAGGCCCTGGAGAATGTCACTGTTGCATACTGTAACGATGCAGACCAGAACAAGAACCGACCTCTCTCACAAAGTACAAGATAGCGTAGCGGAAGACTTAGATACCAATGATCCCTCGTCAAATGCGAAGGCATGATGTGTCATAGCGCAAAGATCGGCTCTTCGCGAGAGTGCATCTGCTGCGCGATTGGAGAGGCCGGGGAGATGTTTCGGTGTGAAGTCAAATTGGTCGATGGAGTACATCCATCGTTCGATCGTGCTGCTCACCGTATCCTGCGTCTTGTAGTAGGTCAATGGGTTGTTGTCCGTGACCCATGTGAACCTACGACGCCCAAGGAGGAAGTGTCGCCATCGCTTGAGAGCCATCACGAACACGAGCAGCTCCTTCTTCCTTGCATCATCAAGCGAGTTGATGGGAGGCACTTTGTGGCTGAAATACTCCACAGGGTGTCAGTCGTCGCCGTCGTGTTGTTCCAAGACTGCCTCAATGCCATAGCCGGAAGCGTCAGTTGTTACTCTCGTAGGTAGGGTGGGGTCATAAATGCTAAGGACGGGTGCCATGAGCATGGTCTTCTTAAGTGCTTGGAATGACCGGCGTGCGTCGTCATCGAATACGAATGGCACCTTTGGCGATTGTAATCTCGTCATAGGTGCGGCAATCCTTGAGTATCCGGTGACGAATCGCTGATAGTAGCCCGCCAACCCCATGAATGAATGGACGTCCGTGATGTTGGTGGGCTCGGGCCATACGCGAAGGGCCTCGATCTTGTCCGCAAGCGGACGGATGCCTTGCGGCGTCACATAATGTCCCAAGTACTCCAGCTCTTGCCGCGCGAATTCGCATTTGTCGCGGTTGGCTTTGTACTTGGCTTGTCGTAGCCGCTCCAAAATGGTGCGCAGGTGTTCCACATGCTCATCCAAACTCCGACTGTACACCAGGATGTCGTCGAGGTAGATAAGTACGAATTGATCCAGCATGTGTTCGAACTCCGTTGTCATAGCCGTTTGGAAAGTGGCCGGGGCATTCGTAAGGCCAAATGGCATAACCAGCCATTCGAAATGCCCATATCGCGTCTTAAACGCGGTCTTGTAGCGGTCCTCCTGCCGAATCTCGAGTTGGTGATATCCCGACTTGAGATCAAGCTTGGAGAAGAACTTGGCGCTGCCCAACCGTTCGAGAAGGTCGTCGATGCGTGGAAGAGGGCCGGCGTTTCTGACCGTTTGCGCGTTGAGCTTGCGATAATCGATGCACAACCGCAAATCCTTGTTCTTCTTCCGGACGAAGAGAACGGGAGCACCGTATGGCGATGAGCTAGGCCGAAGCCAGACCTTTCTCCAGAAGGTCGTCGAGTTGTGCCCGTAGCACACTTAACTCTTCCTCGCTCATTCGGTAGATGCAACCGCGCGGAGGTACAGCCCCGTCCTCGAGGATGATCTCGTGGCGGATGGGCTGATCCGGTACTACTCCGTGTGGGCCTTCGAACACGTCGCTGTAGGCGTCGAGAAGCTCGGTGATGCGTGGGTCCGAAGATGAGTCCGTCGATGAAGCGTCATGGGGCGGGAGGGCGTGGAGAAAACACACCCCCATCTCCTCGATGTCGTCTCTGATGATGGAACCTCGCATGCTTGCGGCGGACACCACGTGGCAGCTGATCGAAGGGTGAGGAGGAGCCACCGTGCATGGGACTAGTAATCCGTTCCGATCACGAACGTGAACGGTGCGGCGGTAGAAGTTCACCGGGTGATCATCGCTTCGCAGCCATTACATGCCCAAGATCATGTCGAATTTGGTGTCCAAAATATCGAAGGACACCGCCTCGCTTGCATGCTGGGCAAAGTACACGGGGATGTCATCTATGCACCAGTCTATTGACTTGTGCGTATGACCGTCTGCCAACGTGACTTGCGTAGGCTGGGACTTCCTCCGGACGCGTGGGCCAACGCCGGCGCGTACCATAAAGTCCTGGCTCATGTAGTTGCGAGATGCTCCGCAATCGATCAAAGCGTTGCAGGTCGCCTCTTCGATCTGAATGCGTACATATAAACAATGGTACGTCGATGTCGTCGTACCGTTGTGTCTTGAACTCGCGGTCGATCTTCGCAATGTAGTCGTGAAGGTCAACAACCTCTACTCTGACATCCATCAACGGAGTTGGTACTGTAGTGTGCAAGTAATCCCGCAATTGTGCCATGAGCACGTTGCAATGCGGTTTCGGCAATCGACCGGACCGGGGAAGGGGCATCCATTGGAAGTCCGCAAACGTCAACGGGTCAAGCTCTTCAAGTCTTGACCATGTCGTCGAATCCCCAACTATAGATGGCGGCGAAGTTGCCGACTCGGTTGCCGATGGTAATGAAACCGTGCATGCGGTAGATTGTTCCACGTGGAGTGGTTGGTCCAACGGTGGGACCAAGTGGACAGCGTAGTCCTCGTAAGTGTACCGAGAACTTGCGACATTCGCATCCTCCCCAGATGTGTAGGAGGCCGCTAGCAAGGCGACCGAATCTGGCGGAGTGGGAGGTGGAGTCGCCTCACCTCCCACGGAACTCAGTTTCCCGAGTTAATACGAGGCCGGACATCCTCCTTGCCTTGATCCGGGCATTGTGAGGTCTTGTGCTCGGTGCTGTTGCGCCAATAGCAGCAGCCGTAGCGGCCGCGCTACTTGTATTCCGCCTCGGTCAAGTGAAACTTGACCCATGGTACTGGCTGTCCGTTTCCGGTCGGCGATGCGGTTTTCGCATTCCCGTTTCCTCGGGACTTGTTGTTGCTTCGCGGTTGGACAGCAGCCACCTGATCTCCCTCACGTGACGCTTGGGTGGCTGCCAGGTCTTCCACAATGTTGTCCGGCTGGACTGCAGCGACATGCTGCGGACACGAACCAAATTCACCTTCCTCCACATAGGTTGGCTGCCACGCTGACTTCTCGTGTGCAGCCGCCCTATTGGTCTTGATGATCTCCCTTGCCTTGTCGATGATTTCGGTGAAGGTCGCGTATTGCTCGCGATCACCAAGTGCAAGGCTCAAGGCGGCACATGACCGGTTATAGAACTCCCGGCGCATATGCGAAAATGGCAATTCGAGATCGGGCGTGGCGACGATCTTCTGCCATTCCGTGGGCCAGTCACGTGTTGGTGTGTTGCCTTGAGACATGGCGAAGAGGCGGTTGATGGCGAGCGTCGGGGCATCATCCACGATGAACCGCTTCTTCCATAGCCGTGTTAACTCTTCCCAAGAGATCTTATCTTTCAGATCTGCGACGTCGACGCCGTGGACGGTTGTCAGGTGGCTCAGCCAGATCTGGCATCCGCCCTTTGAGTTGAGGAACAGCGTGCCGATGTACGAGTGCTCGGGAACGAACAAAATCCGAAGTTGCGTCGTAAAGCCCTCCCACCAGATGACCGAGTCTGATGCGAATAATCATCGAACATCTCGATCTGGAATGTCGGCATCTTGTAATGTTGCGCGGTGTTGCCATCCTTGTTGGGCAGCTGGTGCAGTTGCTGAACCTCGGTCTTCAAGGTGTCCAGCTGCTTGCTGATGGTGGCTGGTGCAGCAAAGGTACTGATGTCGCCGAGCATTGCGACTACGTGGTCAACTCGTTCTTCCAATTGGCGGGTAGAGGGTGCGCTGCTGGACTCGCCAGCATCTGGTCTTGGTGCAGATTGCTCCAAGTCCTGTACACGGGAATGAAGTGCCCGTGTAGCATCCTCGTGCAGATCCTTGTGGCTCTGCATTGCCCGTCGGAGAATCGCCAGCTCGGACTGCAGGTGGTTACAAATGTAGATCAACCGGGTCACGAGCTTGGTCAGGAATTCCTTATGCTGCTCCTCCGGTGTCGCGTCGTCGTGCCCCTCGGATGGTTCAAAGTGCCAGAACTTGAGCTTTTCTATGCTGGTGGCTCCATGCCGCTGTAGCAGATCCTAGGCTTCCTTGCGGCGTGCCTGGGTATCGGCGTTTGCTTCGGACTGAAGCCGCTGTTTCTCAGCTGTTGCCGCTGTTTCAGCCTGTAGGCGGATAGCCTCGGCTGCCACCTGGCGCTGTTCCTCAGCCTCGATGAGTACGAGATGCGTCTGGAACCGCTGTTTGTACTCGGCAATGGACTCGTTGGCCAGTTGGCCTGGCATGCCCAGAGCTGAGCCCATCATGGTGGCGGGGCACTGCTGATGTGGCACTGTGGCACTGCTGATGCAGCACTGTTGCTGACGTGGCACTGCTGACGCGGCACTGTACCAACCCGGGAGTGCATGCAAAGGGGTGGGTGGGAGGGAAAACGCAGGTAGGGAACCAACCCAACAATACTTTCCTCCCGGCCCTAATCAACAGATAAAAAATAAAAAATAAAAAAAGAGGAGTACGGTCCGACTACCTCCTTTTTTTTTTCTTTTTTTTTTTGTATAACTGTCGATCTGTTATGAGTGAGGCATGTCAGAAGAGTACTATGAATGAGATCTAGGCTAGGTTCCGCAAAGTTTCGGCTTTTACAAAACGAGATCTTGAAAAAAAAAAAATTGTGAAATAGAGTAGAGATGCGATTTTCAGAAAAGAACGAAATCCAGTTTCTGAGAATATGACAACCTCTTAATATACCTAAAAACGAACTGATGATAGGCTTCGCAAGTTCCGGTTTTCAAAAAATTTGCGAAATAGAATGGAGATTCGATTTTCAGAACAGAATAAATGCGGTTTCCGAGAATATGACCATTTCTATCGTTGTCCTAACATGCCTAGAAAACGAAATACTAACATCAGAAATTTTTGGCTATGTATGCGAATATCAGAGAAACGAAATGCTACTATCAGAAAAATTTCGGATATTTGTTGCGTGAAACGAAATGCTCATATCGGAATTTTTCAGGTAGAACAAAATGCTTTTATCAGGAATTTTCAGATAAAACGAAATGCGATTATCATAAATTTTGAGATATTTGTTAAATTGTTACGTGAAAACGAAATACTACTATCAGAAATTTTCAGGTAAACGAAATGCAATTATCAGAAATTTTCAGATATTTGTTGCGAGAAAAAAAAATTCAGAGATTTGACGAAGTCCTACTTGATTTACTAATGAGTAATCAATAGATCAAGCAAGCTGGCTACTTGATTGAGCGGGTCCTCT